ATGTACAAGCTTTCGACTTAAGTGTAAATTCGATATTTAAAGTATATAATTAGGAATACATTGATTCTAGTAATAAACCAAAACGAGATCTCGGGAAGGCGAAGTCCAGATCAAGGCTCTTGGAAATTCTATTAACTTCAATGAGAGCTCTGGAAATGGGGTCATAATTGTAATAATTAGCTTTATTAACTTTAATATTAAACGGGTAATGAGTGCGTAAATTTCTATATGGTACATTGAAATTTATTTGCAGAAGAAGCTCTGGACAGTCTACTATGCCATTAATAACATCGTATATGAAAAGCAGAGATTGAATAGATCGCCTAGACTCAAGTGATTTCAGATTTATAAGCGCACAGCGGGCCGTATAAGATGGTAGGGGATCACTAAAATGGAGTGGTTCAAGAGCGAAGCGAATAAAGCTTCGTTGCACTCTTTCAAGTCTAGAGGAATGAGTTGAGTAAATTGGACTCCAGATTAAAGAGGCGTATTCAAGCTTCGAACGAACCAGCGAGTTATAGAGAATTTTTCGGGTGTAGGGATCTTTGAAATCTCTACCATAGCGCCGCAAAAAAGCAAGATTAGAGTAGGCTTTAGGAACGATATAGCTAATGTGGTTAATGAAGGTAAATCCCGAATCAAACATCACTCCTAGGTCTAAAAATTCCTTAACTGAAGAAAGTCTTTTATCAAACAGATAATAAGCCGACTTATGCGTATTTATGCTCTTTGAAAGAGTCATATGGAGACATTTTTTAATATTAAGCGGTAAGTTATTTCTGATGCTCCAAGTAGTTAAGTTGTTAAGATCATTTTGTAATAGCAAAACATCTGACAAAGAAGTGACACTTCTGAAGATTTTTAGGTCATCAGCGTATAGCAAAAACTTGGAATGCTTAAAGCAGGCTCCAACATCATTAATAAATAAAAGAAAAATTATTGGGCCTAGGATGCTACCTTGGGGTACCCCAGAAGTGGCCTCAAACGCGTATGATCTCGTATTCTCGATCTCAACAAAAGAAAATCTATTGGAAAGGTATGATCTAACCCAGCACAGAAATGTAGAGTGTATACCCAAACACTCAAGTTTGCGCAATAAAATGCTGTGAGTGACTGTATCGAAAGCCTTTGAGAAATCGGTGTAGACAACGTCTACTTGACGTCCCATCTTGAACGAAGTTATGCAAAAATTAGAAAAACAGGCTAGGTTTGTGGCAGTCGAGCGACCGCTCACAAAACCATGCTGGCACGGATTAATGGAACCTTTGATGGCAAAGAATAGTTTTTCTTTGACCACTTTCTCAAAAAGTTTCGAGCAAGTCGAAAGTTTAGATATAGGTCTGTAGTTTGTAACATCATTTTTGTTACCAGATTTAAAGATTGGGGAGATCGAGGCAATTTTCCAACGATTAATAAAAACACCCGAGGCCAGCGAAAGATTAAAAATATATTTTAGTGGTACGCAAAATGACGCACCGCATTTCTTGAGCACGTATGAAGAGAGCCCATCTAAGTCACTTTTTAAGGACAATTGCAGGGCAGAGATGCCGTTTATAACATCTTGCTTTGTGACAGACAAAGAACCAAAATCTACAGATTGCGGAATGTCGTCCACATTACATCCGGATAGGTCAGCATCACTGATATAATTAGATTTGAAGAAATCCGCAAAAAGATTTACGGAGTCTAAGACGTTTTCTGATTTCCTACCACAATATGACATGCAAGAAGGGATATTGGAGCACCCTTTCTTAGATCGAATGTATTTGCAAAACGCTTTGGGATTTACTTTTAGCTCATCTTCAAATCGAGAAATATATTGTTTGTATAAGAACTTATCGAGGACATTGAAATCTTTCATGTAATTAATATATTTCTCCTTATGAGAATCATTTTTGCTGGACTTATATAAATTAAAATATTTATTTCTAAGATTTTTCAATCTTTTTAAATCCTTCGTATACCACGGAAGCTTGTGGATTCGCGATGGAAGGCAAGATAGGCAATTAGAAAATAGTTGGTTGATTTTGAGTAGGAAAATTTCATAACAATCCGATACATTTTTAGAAAGGAAAGCTGATTTCCAGTCTATTGCGAGAATATTTGAATTTAAAGAATCAAAGTCAGCATCACGAAAATTAAAACGTTTTATCTCATTGTGGTTTGAGGCAGAGATAAAGATAAGAAACTCTAGGGTAAGGGACAATGGGACATGATGCATATCAGACTTGCAGATAGGAAAGGTACATTCTTCCAATTGGAAGATTAAATTCTCATCAACAAAAATGAGATCTAGGATGTTATTAAGCTTATTAAAAAATGAATTAATTTGAATGAGATTAATGCTAAGAAGACTGTCTATAAAGTTAATTTCGTGGCCACTATTGATATTTGTTGGAGTTAAAATGCCATTATTTTGAAAATTTGACCATTTAATTTTATTAAGATTAAAGTCACCTAATATACAAAAGTGACAGTTCACATTATTTTGATATAGGTGTAAAATGTTACTTACATGGGCAGCGTATAAAGACTCCGAGATAGCTGGTGGGATATAAGAAACACAAACAAATAAATTACCAAGGTTTCCATAGATACATACGCAGAGCTGATCAAGAATAGAGTCATTATTTTCAAGGGGAACAATAGATGAGCGAAAGTTACGATTAACTGCGATTAAAACCCCTCCACCTCTTAAGCAATTTGTTTTAGTTGAATCTCTATCTTTACGATATATAAAGAAAAGATTGGGATCAAAGAATTCCTCATCCGAAAAATTATTATTTAACCACGTTTCAGCAATAACAAAAACATCATATTCACAGCGAGAAGTGTTTAGGAATACATCTTTGGTTTTTGTACGCATTCCCGAGATGTTTTGGTAATAAATACTCAACGAATTTCTACTTTCTTTAGAACTAAATCTCATAGTATTTAAGAAACCTTTACTGCACATCTTTCTGGAAAAAACGAAACGGCCGAACATTTATACCTAATGGCCACAAATTTGCATCTAAGAGCGTATTGTAAAAACTAGAAGAAACGCCAAGTTTAAAGTTGACACTATCCAAATCGGTAACAGAAATACCTTTTTTGACCAATATGAAGCAAGAGATATATTTATTTTCTATACCAAAATGTTTGGCAACATAGGAAATAACATCGTCAGCGGTAACGGAAGGTTTAAAAGACGAAATATGTAGCCACTTTTTGACAGCAACATCCAGCTCAGTGGACACATTACGCCCAACAACTACATCTTTAGATTTAGATAATTTTTTATTTCGCACAAGATTCCAAGCAGTTACATCCGGAGAAGTTTGTTCAATGGCAGTGGGAAGTTGATTAATTGTAAGAGTAGCATTAGACTGAGCAGACGAAGAAGAGCCCGGTAGCGTAGAAATAGTCTGATTAGTAGCAGCGGGCGTTGTAGTGATAACTGGCAATTCAACACAAACATCAGCGGGCACAATATTGTTGTTTGTACAAGTAGGTACAATAGGCTGTATTGCATTGATTGCAGAATCAGTAGGAGCAGGAGAATCAGAAACTGGAGAGGCAGCAGAAATAGCATGAGATAGGTGAGACCGATTAACATCAACCAAAGAGACGTCAGGTTGAGGCGAAAATGAAGAGAGTAATTGAGGCTGAATCACGATCCAGAAAATAAAGGTCGCGCCATTCGCGGACCGCTAACCCTCTCATCGTCGATTTGACAGCATCCACCCAATCGCTGACGTCATAAAATACTTTTGTTTACATTCACTGTTGCCAACTTAATGCTTTTCGCACCAAATTTAGTGGGTATTCAAAACGCGAACATTTTTGAGTTTGGTGCTTGGTGCGTTTTTGGTGCTTTTGGTTTTAGTTTGAAGACACCAAATTATAAAATCTTAAAAAAATGGAAGCAAAATTTATAGCAATCATAAGCGTGGTAAGCAACTTCACAAAAATTTAAATAAAAATCATGGCACAATCATAAGCGACAACAAAATATGTGGCAGCACCTTCAATCAAGCCAGAAGTAATCGACCGTCGTGCAAGAAACATTGATTTTTATTAATTTGAATCGGCATCCTTACAATATAATTATGTATGCATATAAAGTCCATAAAATACACCAATAAATATTTGGTGCTTTTTCAAATTCAAAACTTGGCAATACTGCCTTTTGTTCGATGCTTCCTCTTTTTCTTGTCGAGTTCGTCTTGCTCTCTCATTCTGGTATTTATTGACGTCACGGTCAGTTACTCTCAGCTCGATTGGCGCAATCTTGTATTCTATCATTCTTGTGAAGTATACATATCACGAAGAACGTCAACAAAAGAGAATCGACGACCGGTCGGTCGTGCGCTATAGCATCTCTTCCTCCAGCCATTTCTCTTGCCATTTCCTCATGTGCGCATGTTGCTTCTTTGCTGATATAGGCACTCATGATTCAATAATACAAGGTTCGATAAACTGACAGTTGTCCCTCTCGCACCGCTCCCTTAGCAGTGGCACCGTGTTGCTTCTTTGCAAATTTACATCGAAACAGTGTAGCTTTGGTGTTAAATAAAAGTATAAGCTTTTGTGCAATATGTTTATTTGTATATGCATATGAAGCATATTTAACTGATGAAAACATAAGCATTGGATGTTTACATCAATCTCATAGTAGTCTTATTTTAATTTTGAG